GGAATTTTTTTAACTATTTAGATACTTAGATAAAGATTTAACGTTTCGATTCTGAGAATATTGTGAATGATTGTGAAATAAAATGAACATTTATTTTTGCGGTGCGTTAACCACAGAAATGAAGCTTGGTTATGTAAAAACTTTTAATTATTATTTAGTCGGTAATTTCAATGCATATGTAGCTTTTCAGTGCGGACAAAAATATATTTTAATTTGAACCTGCGATATTTTAATAAAAATAAATAATTTGTGTTATTAAGAATTGATTTTAAATCACGCGAAAAAATAATATTTTGCAACATTATATTTGATTGAAAATAAATAATTTTAATTATTGAGAATTAATTTCAAACAGAAATAATGTAAAAGTAATTAAAAATATTGTGTAAGTAAATCATAATACAGAGACTTACCTGCACTTGACAAAAACAGACAGCTTTGGACAATTCTCAAAATATTTACTAAACTACTAGTAATTTTCTAGTAATCAGTATCCACATTAGATTCATTATTTAAAACTTTAACGATGAAAAATTACGAACAATTAAAAATTGCCTAATTAGTGCGGAAAATCTTAATCTTAATCATGTTGGAAAATTAATATTATGAAATAAAATCAGTACTAATGATCATTCTATATTAAAATGCAGTTGAACAATGAAACTAAATATGCAAATTTTAATGTATATCGTATGCCATTGATCAAATAACTGTTCAATTTTTTTATGAATGAAATTCCATGTGATATCGCTCGTTTTATCAACTGGATTTCCTTGAAACTTTCTACCCGCATTGTAATGCACTGCTCATAAATATATCAACTCTCAAACTATGGTATTATAGCATCATAATAATTACTTAAGAATTTAAAAATGCAAAGTCGGTACGTTTCAGGTCTTATTTTTATATCCATCACTAGTCACAAGTATCTAAATACTTTTAACGTGAAACACAGAATTTTTTTCCAGAGTTCCTAAAATTAAATCGAACTAATTATGTTTAATTAAGCTTGAAATATCAACAAAAATAAATATTCATATTTTCTTTTCAAAATCAAATTTAAAAAATGAAACCATTGACGAGATCGCACCTATTAAAGATAAGTGGTTCAAATACGCGTTGAACAATATAATTCGAAAGTTTTCCATCTAATCGAGTAATATCATCGAGATACAGATGAGTTTAGTATATCAGTCTAGCGATAATCATCCAAAACAAGTAAAGCTCAAGTAGGTGCGATTATCGAGAAAATATCGACGATCGAATACTCGTGTCTTCTTTATAAACCATTTAAGATAAAATATTGTACTCGAAATACTTGAGAAATTACAAAAATTATCACGATATGTTAGATACTGTATTCGTTATAGCTTCTTGAGTCTTTTAAATAGCATATAATTTTACTATAAACATCTACACTGCCTTAAACAAGAATCAATCATTAACCATATCGTCTGAATCATTTGCCAACTATTACAGTTCACAGCGTAAATGTATGGTAATATGAGTCACCTTAGTTTATAATTCATAAAGTTCGTTTCTTTCGGTGTTAAACATCATTCAGATCGACAAATCCAATAAATCGTTCGCGCAGCTTCTGATTACGTGATGTGTAAATGCAACAGCCGTTTAATGAAACGATAATTGCTGCAATTATAGTTTGATGAACTTCGATGCATAGAATTCTATCGTAATTGTTCTATTTTCCTTTTATCGTGCTCAGCAGAATGTTTACAAATCGTTTTCATGAGCGAATCGAATTTGATTAGAAGAACTGTTGGTAAATGTTCAGAACACAGGGTACTTTATCGATTTTAAAGACCTTGAACTATTTTGTCAGGAAATATTCTTATCATTTTTACCTATACATGTATAAATTTGTGCTTAGTTTCAGAAATATACATATAGTATAACTGCATCTGATATAAAACATTTGATTTTATAAACTTGCTTTTTAAATGAAGACATGTTCCTTTTTTATAGAAACTAAAAACGTAACAAAATTAATAATGAACATCTGTATGTTAATGTATAAATTTAAATATTTTGAAATTATGGCAAAAGAGTAAACAAGTTAAAAGCAGCGAATTGAGAAAATGGTAAATAATTGCAGATAACTATTATTAATAACATGTGAAATAATTTATTTTTATTATGGAAGATGAATATTTATTTAACTATGCAGGACAGATAAATGTCTTCCACTTTTTTAAAATTTACCTAACATGATATTATTTTTCCTCGTCTTTTATATGTTCAATATATTACACATATGTGAGTGAACTGAATTCATTTTTCACCATTATTATCACTATAATGAACATATGATACCATGTAATATTAATAGAGGACATATTTTATTTTATGTACACTCGAATGCAACGTAGGTGTTTCAATAAGAGACGTATTGCAAACTTAACAGTTAATAAATTTTTTAACTTCCATATTTATAATTTTGTAATTCTTACATTCTTAGACTTCTAAATAACAAAATTCTCAAATTTTTGCATTTTTCACATCTCTAGATTCCCAAATTCTTACGTCTCTAACTTCCTGAAAATCCACAATATCTTTGTAAATTCCAGTTCTCAAATATTTGTTGTTTCAAATACCTAAGACCATTTCTAAATCCCCAAATTCCCAGATTGTCATATCTATAGATCCCTAAATTTCCAGATTACAAATTTCAAGATTCTTAAATATCTATGTCTTCAAATTCTGAAAATTTCAAATACCTAGATTGCCAAATCTCTACATTTAAAAACTTCTACGACCCCAAATTTCTAAATCACAAAATTCTTCAACCGCCGAATTCCTAGATTTCCATATCACTAGAACTCCAAAACCCAAATTTTCCAAATACTTATAACCCTAAATACCAAAGTTCCAAAATTATAATGCACGTAAATTCTTCTGTTTCCAAATTTTCAAATTCCCTAAGATCTTCAGAAATCGACGAAAAAAAGATCTTTTCTTCCTTGATCGCCATTCTTTCGGGAACTTAGGTTTGCTTTTGACTAACAAGAAAATGAATTCTATAAATTACTTTTGAATATTCAAAAATAAACATGACTAATGATAAATCATACAAAAGTTATATTTCATAAAATACTTTGACTAAAAAATGTAATTTAACTTAGCTTTTAGAAACTTCTAAACATTACGAAACATCAATACTTCATTAAAATACATGCATTAACACATTCATTATACTGCATTCATTAACATACTTCCAATTGAAGTCTAAGTGTTAATATGATTGTTTTGTGTTTACAACAAAATATTTTACATATTTTCCAATATATTTCTCATAGATTTTGCTATGTACTTATTGAGACATCGGCGCCGTTTCAGATTAATTATTTTGCATTAAGCACCATTTTGTATTAGACACAGCTATACTGCAATCAAAAATATTTTTAATATTACATAACGTATTTTAAATTTTCGTGTAAGTTTTGGTTAGGTATGATATAGGTTTCAACAATATTTGGAATGGGATTGGGGTAAGTTGCGTAATCCGGCTTTAGCAAGACGGCTAGTTATCAATTAAATGGGCTTAAGTTTGATTTGGGTTGGTTTAGGTTAAAACAAGTTAATATCTAATATCTGTATAAACGTATGAATACCTATACAGTCTATCAGAATGAAAAAAGTACATTGTAAATTAAATGTGTATGAATTTATACATATACATGTATTAATCAACGGGAATTTTTATTGGAATTTTCTTAATTTTGTATTAGTTTATAACTAATATGACTGCAATTTTAAAATAGCTATCCATTTGATACATGTTTAACTCGGTTGGACATGATAAGGTAATTTATTAATCTCTAGAAGAAAATTCCTTTGTTTCTACGGATAAAACGCTCTTTATGTCCTGGTATGCTTTATGTCAATGATAATAACGTGAGTGAACCAAGGTTACAGATAATTAATTATATTTTCTATTTAACTGACAACCATAATTAATTGTTAAAAACAACAATTAGTATTTAATTCTTTAATTATGAATTGAATAGTAACTATTAACTTAATAATTCTATATTTAAAAATTAGTGTTTCACTTTTAATTAAAATTTGTCAAATTAAAAATTAAAATTTAATATTCATGAAGAACATTTCTAATTTTTATTGTTACAAAGTTCATGATCTTATTCAAATCCTCAACTAAAAAAATTGAATTATTAATTGCAATTCAAACATATAATTTTACATAGAATGATTAATAATTTCTAAATGTTAATATAAACATTAGCAAACTAAATCAATAATTTTCAACTCTTTTGAAGTTAGGGAATACTTCCTATTGTAAGATAAATTTATACTGACTAAAATTATAAATTAATAATGCAAATATATATAAATGTACTTTGATTAGACATTATAAATTACATATTACATAAAAAAAGAAATTATTGAATTTAAAAAAAACTAAATTTATAAAAATTGTAAATAAAGTGATTCTTTATCAAAATAAAAATTATTAAATTAATTTTAACTTTAATCTCTCATCTACGCTCAATAATTGATAATTTTGTAGAACATTAGGTGTTTTAAGAAACAGTAAGGACCACTTGTTTAAATAAACACTACAACCTAAAATACAATTCAGTTAACATACAATATATAAACATAAATAATGGAATCGATAATAATAATAATAATAATAATAATAATATTTATGTTACCAGTATTTTTCTCACGAATTTTCCAGTATATAGTAATTTTAGTATATCCAAACGACTATAATTGCAATTCTAGAAAGGAGTATTTAACATTTAAGTCTAAGTGGTGGAGGACTCGTGAACGCCTCTAGGGCATTTGTTATTTACCTACGTAATAAAATTGTTATATACATACTATTTAAATAAAATAAGTCATTAATTATAAAATTATTTTAGTTCATACATAAACAAATAATACATCTAGATATACCTGAACGCATGTGCAACAGTTACGTGAAATTTTGAGTCAGGAAGTGTAAAATACAAGTATGACGCTACACGATCAATAATTTACGATCGCGTGACTGAAAGTGTGTCTTGTCTTTCCCTTCGCGATAATCGTTTCGGTTATAATCGCGAGTGCAGCTTATCAACTTTTAAATTTTTTACCGTTTACAGATAACGTACATAACAATTTGTATGATAAGTGCAGTGTACGATAATAAACAGCATGCATAAAAGCATTATTGTAAAAATTGATCGTAACAGATTCAAGCTTACAATAAGTGGTCAAAGAAATACAGACTCGATGAACTTCGTTAACCTTTCTTTTTGAGATCCTTAAATTAGAAAGTCGCAAAACGTGTTCGATACTTTCAGACAGTTCTCAACGGTGACAGTTTACAAATTCTTTGTCGTCGCGAGCAGATCAGCTACGAATGTTTTGTCGTCGAATAACGGAACAGAAGGTGTTCGAAATAAATCGTGAACTTGTGATTTATACGTGGCACTCATCCGATACAATTTGTACGAAAGAAGAAAAGTTACAGCCTCTTAAACAATTCTGCTTTAATTTATGACAGGTTTGTAACAATAACAGCATTCGCGATTCTACCGTTGATATCAATATGTCGAACAATTTTAAACGTCAAGCATAAACTAGTAAACGCACAAGATGTGCACGTGTGTAGACAACTGTTGCTTTGCGTAACAGGTGTCGTGGTGAAAATATTGAAGGAATGTATCAATTGAGATCTTATGGATACCAGTGTTCTCGAAAAACTGATTCCCTGTTCGGACGAGGTACTAAAAGAAATTAAAGGAATTACTAGTTAAAGTATAGAAATTAATTAAAAAATACTTTGGATGAAAATATGCAAGTGTATAATAAAGTAATGAAGTTAAATAAATATATAAATATCATAAAGTTTGTGTTGTACTTTATCAGAGAAAAGTAAATTTGAAATTGCAAGTGACAAAATATTGATTAATCTCATAATGAATGTGTACTTAGCGATTAATTAGTAAGTTAAAAAATTGTCATGTTTTTACCGAGATATTTAACTTGAAATACTGTATTCTTGCTCATATTTCTTATGAAATTATGTAATATAAATTGACTCGTTATTTTCTGTAAGCAAATTGCTTGAAGTACAGTACTTTCTACTTTCGCAATATTATTAGGTCAGTTCTACAGTATACGTGTAATCCCTTCCGCTGAAAATTCTCTGTGGTGTAAGGATTGAGAATGTTTACCGCGGCAATTAAATAAATTTGTTTAATTTACAAATATTGGATTTAGAAAATTTGGGAATGGGAATTTGGGTGTTAAGAAACTTACGAATTTATAGATTTAGGAGATTAAGAGCTTAAAAATATTGAAATTTAAAAATTTAAGAAATTAAGAATTTCGAAATTTAGGAATGTGAGAATTGGGGAATTTAGAAATTTGAAAATTTGGGAATTTGGGAATTTGGTAATTTGGGAATTTGGGAATTTGGAAATTTAGGAATTTAGGAATTTAGGAATTTAGGAATTTGGAAATTTGAGAATTTGAGAATTTGAGAATTTGAGAATTTGAGAATTTGAGAATTTGAGAATTTGAGAATTTGAGAATTTGAGAATTTGAGAATTTGAGAATTTGAGAATTTGAGAATTTGAGAATTTGAGAATTTGAGAATTTGAGAATTTGAGAATTTGAGAATTTGAGAATTTGAGAATTTGAGAATTTGAGAATTTGAGAATTTGAGAATTTGAGAATTTGAGAATTTGAGAATTTGAGAATTTGAGAATTTGAGAATTTGAGAATTTGAGAATTTGAGAATTTGAGAATTTGAGAATTTGAGAATTTGAGAATTTGAGAATTTGAGAATTTGAGAATTTGAGAATTTGAGAATTTGAGAATTTGAGAATTTGAGAATTTGAGAATTTGGAAATTTGAGAATTTGAGAATTTGAGAATTTGAGAATTTAAGAATTTCAAAAGTTGAAATTTCAGAAATTTAAAAATGTAAAAATTTGGAAATTTGAAAAATTTGTTCCTTTGTTCTTAGGAAAAGGAATTATAGTCTACCTAAGCATATTCATAAAATTATATTTAACACTATAATTTATATAAACTATAATAAGTGACAATTAAAAAACTAACCTAATCATAAAAATTATTAGAATATATATTCATAGCTAAAATAGATTAAAAAAAGATAATAGTTGAAAAACTCCACGTAAAACAAGAAAGGAATGTATCTAAACTAAAAATAATATTACGATATTAGATATTACAATATTAAGTTTGAAGCAACGAGTGAACACATCACTCAAAGCGAAAGATTTCTGTTATTAACGCATGAGTTAAATTTCGTAACTACTTTACAAGTTCGCAAAGTAGATTTCTCTAAGTTGCAATTGAAATCAGTGACCTTTCAGGAAACGATGGAGAGAAAGAAATCCTCGGTCGAGACAGCCAAGGATACTGAGTACGGAACGTGAGTGTTGCACTTTTACCATAGTTTTACAATTTACAGCGTTGTATTTCAATCTATCTTTCAAACGGATTACTCTAATTCTTTTTTGGATTATGAGGGTCGTAATGGCCCCGTAATTTTTAAATTAAACAATTAAATTTTGACAACTGTTAATCGTTGTATTGGTGTAATTAGGATTTTTATTTGAGGACAAGCTTTAGATCGCTACGTCATATCGCTATGCATTGTATGACCTCGAATCAGATAACTAAACGCTGTATATCTGGGCGTTCTGTTGCTATATGTATGTTGTATACGTGTTCTGGATCGCTACACGTTATACAGTTAGTTTGTCATGCATTATTTTTTCATGTATTAGATTTTCACATATTATATATCCATGTGTTTAATTACCGCGCGCTTTATAATCATGCATAAGATCGCCACGTATTATATATGTATATATCCACGCGGTATATAATAGAAATAATTTTTATTATTAAAAATATTAATAACGTTATAGATTTCCATGCGTTATATCGCTATATGTTAGATCGCCTCGCGTTGTATCGCCGTGCGTCCTACCACCACGTGTTAGATCGTCTCGCGTTGTATCGCCACGCGTTCTACCACCACGTGTTAGATCGCCTCGCGTTGTATCACCACGTGTTATATTGCCACGCATTGTATCACCATGCATTGTATCACCACGCATTGCATTACCATGCATTGTATCACCACGCATTATATTGCTATGCATTGTATCGCTACGCGCTAAATTATCACTCGTTGTATCGCTACACGTTTTATCATTTCGCGTTATATCGCCATGTGTTGTAACTCCACACGTTATATCACCTGGTGTTGTATCGCTTCGCGTTATATCACTTCACATTGTAACGCTTCGCGCTGTATCATCACACGTTATATCGCCACGCATTAAATCGCCATGTATTATATCGCTACACGTTGTTTCGCTATACGTTACATTGCTATGCGTTGTATATTATATCCTTATAATATCCTATATCATTGTATATTATATAATTACATGATTTGTATGGTTATGCGTTATATCGCCACATTATAAAAGTGAAAGGAGCAAACCTGTCCTGATCCCATCCTAGTTACGCCAATGGTCTCTATAGATGTTTAAAAGTGAACATAATTCTCTACATTTCATTAAATATTTTGATGTAAGGAGTCATATTTGTTTTCCCCAATTAATTCGGCACAATATTACATAAATTAAATAACAGTGACTAAATAACTTACAAATGGCCTATGTGAATTAGAGTTAATTCAATAATTAAAACAAAAAGAAATTTCAAATATATACTACTGTTAATACTTATTATTAGAGCTATTTTTAATAATTTTTCTGAGAATGTTTTGTGACAAATATTACCTGATTTTCATAACGGTGCTGGACATTTTAAAATTAATATTAATCCATTCTTTTCTCGTTATAGATAATGATTATTGTCATGATTTCTTCCAGGGTCAAATATGAAGATGAACTTGCGCCGTCATGGAGGTTTTGGAAGAAAAGACGATACATAGTCGGAGTATTAGCATTTTTAGGATTTTTCACTTCTTATATTCTTCGAGTGAATTTAAGTGTAGCTATTGTTGCAATGACGGAAAAACACAAAAAAGTTGATGAAAGCGGAAACGTTTATTACGTAAGTGAAAGAACTTAATAGAAAATTATTAACGAGAAGTAATTAATTGAAAATTTAGTTTCTTGAAAGACTTAAATAATTTTCTTTAAATCTAACGTTTGTATTATATAATATAGGTACACATAATTTAGAACATTCTATATTTTTTTATATAGCCATTTAGTCACCGATTCAAATGTATAATGTAATCTGACCTTTTGTGTAATATTTCAAATTAGTAATTTAAAAAGTGACCTTTTGTTACTCTAGGACAAAAATATAATACTAAAAGATTGCATTTGACGAAATTGTGTACATCGAGTACGCAATATGTACAAGATCCGCTAAAACGTATAATCTAATTATACTCTACAAAAAATTGTACACAATTAAATATGAATAATTTAATATTCAAACTTTAATTTATTACAGTATATTCAAAATATATTTTATCACAAACAATACTTTAGAAAGTGTAATTAATTATGCAATAAATCAATAAGTAAGAATAGAACAAAAATTTTGTGATGATACATATGCTTAAAAATCAGATGAAAACTATAGCTTTCTATCACAAAACAAACAAATGTTTAATTCCAATATCGTTATCATAATACAATAATACTTCTCTGATAATATATTAATGTTCGTAGTTGTACCATCATTATCTCGATACTTGTAATTTTTTCGAAATTATTCTTGAGTGTCACACTAATTATTTTATGAATAACTCTTTCTAGTACACAATTTCTCTTGTATACATTCAATCTTTTTTTTATCAGAAAGTATTCATACATTTAACAAAATTATTTATATTGTAAAATAATTTTCAGTAAAATAAATGAGAAATTCAGAGATATAGAAATTCATATATCACTTAGAAATGAGTAATATGACACACAAAGTGTTACATACGTGTATGTTGACAATAGGTAATTATGTCATTATTCACTTTGGCATCTAATTAGAACTAATTCTGACTATCGGAGACACGTATTATTGTAAATAATGAACATGTTGCCGCAAAAATCATCGTGTTAAAAATTCACTTCTGTTTAGTCAAATAATTACAAAATAAAAAAAGAAACAAATTCTAAGTAATATTAAAACTTATAATATAAAATAGCAAATGATATACGTAATCCTATTGTCAATATTTTCGTACAATCGTAGTCATATGAATGTTATAATTCATGTTAATGAACAAAAGATTATGTATTCAACGTTATATTCACAGGAAGCAGAGTTCGACTGGGATGCAAAAATGACAGGACTTCTCTTAGGTTCTTTTTTTTATGGTTATATAAGCACACAGTTAATTGGAGGATGGCTAGGAGCACGTATTGGTGGAAAAAGAGTTTTCGGTACTGGAATTGCGATTACAGCCTTTTTTACAATAATTACGCCGCCCCTCGCCAGGATAAGCTTTTATCTTTTCCTTGCTTTGAGGATAATAGAAGGAATCTGCGAGGTATTGTACTACTAATTAAATTATAATTATTATTCTAAATCGAATAAATTTCATCAAATTACATTAATTATTATAAAGTTCTGTGTAAAATTGTAGGTTCGCTATTTGGTAGCAGTGACACATATTCTTTGATAAGTGATACATTAATTATTCGTTGCGACGGATAAAGTTGAAAGTTGCACTCGGAAAATGTTAAAAAATATTAGAGAGCATTTTTTAAATCAAAGACATATATTAAAAGATTTGTATCGAAAATTGGAAAGCGAAAATTACGTACGAGTACAGTTAAATAAACGTCTGAGAACGTAATTACAAAATTACTAAGTTTGGTGCCTGAAATTTATGCGTTTTCACATTTCTGAACCTTCGAATTACCAGACATACACATTTCTAAATTGCTGTATTTCCAACTTACCTCTCTATATTTCAAAATTTATAACAAAATTTATAAATTTTTTAATTAACAAATTCCATACTTTCAAATTATAAATCTATAAATTTAAAAATCTGAAAGTTAAAACTATTTCATGGGAATTTGGAAATTTGAATATTTGTAATCGTACAATTCCAAATTTTGTAATTTCTATTCCTCCAAATTTACAAATTATCAAGTTATCAAATTTCTCAGTTTACAAGTTACAATTTGCCAATTAGAAAATTTAATATTTCTATATTTCGAAGATTTTGGATGTGAATATTTCCAAATTTGCAAATTACTTGATATGTCAATCATTAGTCTGCGAGTACTTCATTTTTTTTTTTAGGTATCATTACAAAAAGAAGAAATTACTTACTTTTAGAAATGACCTCATCTACAAAACCTTGACTCCAATTACTGCCGCTCATTCCTCTTTTTCCTTAAACAAGAATAGAAAATAATATAAAACTCGGAATTTTAAACCGTGTAAATTTACGAAAACGTTATTTTACATCATGAAGGCATTTGCTTTACATGCGAAATTAAATATAATATACAAGGTGGAGATCCTAAAACCAAATAATCTTATTTATTGCAAATCATACACTGATCTTAACAATTTTATTATATGGCAACGAAGAGGGAATGTGAAGGTCATTTTGTTTTTTAAAAGAAATCGTAGATCCTTTTTACACAGATCATTTCTTCATAACATTCTGCATAAAAAAGTATTAGGGTACAATGCCAACAACATTAATATTTCATGAGATATCTTATTAAAAAAAAGATCAAAACGTTTTATAAATTGTTGATCTTTTTGACATTGTATCCTAGTCCTTTATGAAGAAATCTATGTAAAAGAAAAAGAAGGTTGACGTCCTTCATCTCCTATTTACTTCTACAAAAGTAAAAGTAAATTAAACGCCTTAACAGTAACAGCGTTTTGATAATAAAAAAGTAATAACAATAAAATACGAGTAAAAAATTATTTTCTTTATTTATTAATATTAACGTTAAAATTAATCTTAAATTATAATATTAATTTTAAATTGTTATTTTTAGGGTGTGACATATCCTTGCATGCACGCGATATGGGCAAACTGGGCACCTCCATTGGAAAGGTCGAAATTAGCGACCTTCGCATTCTCCGGAAGTTTCTTCGGAACTGTATTTGCCATGCCCGTTGCTGGTTTAATGGTTGAACACCTTGGTTGGGCTTCCGTTTTTTACGTTTTTGGAGCAGCGGGTCTCATATGGTTCTTTTTCTGGTGGATTATCGTGAAAGATAAACCGGAAGAAGATCCGTATATTTCTGAAGCTGAACTTGAATACATTAAGACTAGTCTTGGAGATTCCAATAAAAACGTAAGTTTACATTAAATAAGTTATATAATAACTTAAAGTGAAATATCAGTAAATACTATTTTAATTATTTTATAAATATTTATGATCATTTCATGGTCCGCAGAAAATTACATATCCATGGAAATCAATACTCACATCTCCACCCGTTTGGGCTATTGTTGCTGCACATTTTAGCGAAAATTGGGGCTTTTATACTATGCTCACGCAACTGCCAACATTTATGAATGGTTAGTGGAACAGTGTATTTAACGAGTATATTACTAGGTGTGTACAAGTTACATTTAAGTAATTTATTCTTAGATGTACTCAACTTCAAGTTGGATAAAACCGGGTATTTATCCGCGCTACCGTATCTAGCTATGACAATTGCTGTTCAGTTTTCTGGATACTTAGCAGATTTGTTAAGAACGAAGAAAATTTTGACTACTACGCAGGTCTGTTATTAAATATTTATAAACAGCCTTTAATATATCCAATTAAAAGAACTGAACAGAGTATTACGAATAAAAATTTCAATATCTGATCCCTAGAGCCAGAATGTATTAACTTACCCTTTTTAATTATTAGAAAGGGGCAAGTCCAATGTAAAAACCTTGAGATAAAATATAGACTTACTATTATTTGTACAGTATTATTTTAAAATTAAACAGCTCACAATTTCAACAGAATAATTTGTATCGTCGGGAAAAGTGAAAAATTTTATGCGGCAAATACCATCTGCTTTAAAACTGAATTTAGTACGTTCTGACTTTGGGATACAGATATATAATTCTTTATATGATACAGTTAATGTATTTATAAGATGTTCCGACGTTAAAATAAAATTTATTTTGATATAATTTATACGTTGACTAAGTTATACGTAGATATGTGTATAATGTGTATTCGAATACATTTTTTGTTTTAGGTGCGCAAAATTTTTAATTGCGGAGGTTTTGTATTTCAAACCATATTCATGCTGGGCGCAGCCTTCCTTTTAACGCCAACAGGAGTGGTTATTTGTATTACATTGGGAATTGGCCTTGGCGGTTTTGCTTGGTCCGGCTTTGGGTAATGTTCTTTCTCGTATTACAAACAGAACCGACATGAGGCAAATTCAAATCATTCCCGTGAACATAGTCACACACTTTAAAAATATTTACGTCTGCATTGATTATAAAAATTTGGCTCAACGTAATTAATATACAAATTCTTTAAAAATTACCATATTGAACTATACAATATGTATAAATATTTAAAAATATAATTATACATATAATTAGATATTAATGTTACTGTATAAGACAATATTCGGAATAAGTATACAAATTGAACACATAATATTGCTACATAAATATTTATTTTTTATTTTGTTTTAGAGTAAATCATTTAGATATTGCTCCTCAACATGCAAGTGTACTTATGGGAATAGGAAATACTATTGCTACTTTACCTGGTGTTATTAGTCCAACTATTACTGGATATATTGTTCAAAATAAAGTACGTTTATTCTGTAATTTGATTAAATTTATTCGATTTTAAATAATTCTAATAAGAAATTCAAATCTAAATGAATATATGTAAATGTATTTTATAGAGTGCTGAAGAATGGCGTATAATCTTCATAATAGCTGCCATAATTTATTTAGTAGGAGCTACCATATATGGTTTATTTGCATCTGGTGAAAGACAGAGTTGGGCAAAAGAAAAGGAAGAAACGAAAGGAACAAGACAATCATATGATAATCCTGCAATGGAAGTAGACAATGTATAGTGTAAAATAAAACAAATACATTTATATACAATAATCAGAGATCAGGACATATACCTTAATTAGTATTCAATTTGCACATAGACCATTACATTAAATGACAATTGTACTTTTACACAGGACATGCTTATGTTGGTTTACATTTTAATTTATAGTCAAGTCTAATTTATCATTAGTTATCATTATTAGTTGTTAAGCAAAATTTTGCTTAACAATATTATTTAAATTGTAATATATTATATTATGTATAATATTATTATATTATACTTAATAATACTTTGCATATTAATGTAAAATGCTTGATTTTTTATTAATATTACTTTTGTGATGTATATACATGATTAATAGATTTTATAACATACGTAAATTATAAAGTTTATTATATTATGTTTTTAAAATTATAAAAGATGAAGAATGTTGAACTAATATTTAATTAAAATTATTTTTAAAACATGTATTTTTAATATTCACTTTACTGTACTTCTTTATAGATCTAATACAATGTTGCTGGTCAAATTGCAAAATTATGTCTGAAAGATTACCTTAAAGTAAGAAGTATTTTTATTTTTTATTTAGTATAAATAAAATTATTAATATGACAATATTGTTTAATACATTCGTGTATTTTGTGTATTATATAAACTTTAAAATATAAAAATTAATAAATTTTGTATATAAATCAAATTTTACAAATAATATATATTGAAATTGTTGTTTATTTAATTATACACATTTAATTTGTTTAATTGAACAATTATAAGCAAGTGTGAAGTAATAATAGCCATGCAGTATCTATGCATATAAATATACATATAAATATTTTTATAAAATCAATACTGTAAAAGGTATTTAGTATTTATTAGCTTTTAAAAGGTGAGAATATAGTTAGTCTCTGATTGGTAAACTCATGATCTTATGGAAACGATTGAAAATAAACAAAGCATTCATACCAGTAAGCAAGAACATATTTTAATGTGACGTCGATCTTATTCGTTCATTATCTACATAAACTTGAATGAATTAACAGAGATAAGTTCAGTATTATTTATATTACAAGCAGTTCACCACAGACAAGAAGTAAGTACAAAAATATCATTAAAAGTATTACAAAATACACATTTGACAGCTTTGATGTGAATATAACCTATTTCATACTTATCAATTTTCAATGATTTATGCATAAAATTTCTCTACGTGAATCCAAAAGATGTAATTGTATTCAAAAAGTAAAATAAATTATATGCAACACTCGTACAAAATGTTTGTGGTAAATCAATGAAATAATTGCATATTAACTTTTTGTGTAAATCATTTTAACACATAATTCATTTAATTTATAATAAAATATTTTAATGTGACTACTATGTTTATATAAAATGCAATAAACGGATTTTTTTATGATAACTTACATTAATTTATAATAATCTACATATTTATAACAGGATAATTATAACTAAAGATAACACAATTATACTTAACATATTGTTTTGTAGTTTAGCTTATTATTGATATATATGCTTTTACAGATGTCATTAACTGTTCAACAAATTATAGTGGATGCTAAGAAATTAGTGATTAGAATATCAGATCATGAAAATACAGCAGATAATTTAATAAGCGAAATAGAATCGGTTACTAGTCAACTTGATAATATGAAGCAGGTGAATAATTTGAATTTTTTTATTATAAAACTGTTGTAAAATAGACAGATTTATTCATTTTATTAATAAAAGTCAGCGTTTACTCAATTTGTTTAATATTTTTATTTCTTATTGCTTGAATTAGACAATATCAGTAAATTGTTCTGAGAATTATATTTATCTATTACTTTCTAAATTGCTCAACTTGGAAGTTACATTGTATTTTTTGTATTATATATTCATAGTATCAAGAAGAAATAGAAATTTTGAATGCTGAAGCAAAACAAAAACCACATTTACAATTGATTTCTGGAATACAAAAAGGGAACAAACATTTACAAGAAATACAGGCAGAAAATAAGGAATTGAAGAATGTATTAGAGGATTATCAACATACTCTCGAATTAATAATGTCTAAATACAGGCAACAAACAGCATCTCTGCTACGTTTGTGCAAAACAGATCTTACTTCATCGCATAATGCAAAATATGCTAATGTAAGTGTTAGCAAACATAATATTAGAACTAATTAATTAAAATGAATATGTAATTTTAAAGTTTTAAAATATTTTGTAGTTTCTTATATTTATCTCATAATTTAAAAAAATATGCACGTATTTATTTTGTTTTAAATTTCACTTATTGATATATCAAAGATACTTAACTAATTGATAATAATTAATACATAAAATTACAGATAATTACAAGTCAAGCAGAGAAAATTAATGAAATGGCAGCAATAATGAAAACTGCAGTTGCCTTAGATGAAGAAAACGAATTAAAAGAAAAAGAGTTGTATTATAGTTTAAAGGAAGAAAATGCAACATTACGAGAAATTGTTAATATTGCAAATAAATATGGCTCCTTGAACAAGAGTACTGAAGTAGAAAATAAAACTGTTCAAACAGATCCTGTAGTATTATAAGAAAGTTTGTAATTTATATGTTCTTTATATAAATCATGTATTATTTATTTTATATAACTAAAGTTAGAAGGAATGTATTACTTATATGTAAAAAAGTGCACATACAATACATGTTCAATATCTGTATACATTGAACTTCTTAAATGAAATTGAAATAAAAAAGATAATTTCATGTGTTGCTTTTATTTAGATTAATAATTTCAAATTGCTACTTTTCAAAATTTACATTTGTACATAAAATTTCTTTTCTCTGCGATAAAATGTATTTTTTTTTTTAGAATTTGTAATAATGTCAAAACATCCAAATTCTCCCGCACCTTGTTGCACATGCGCTTAAAATGTTTAGTAATAACAAGATGGTTTCTTAAGAAAAAGAAAACATCTATGTCTTTAAGACGATCAAATATTACAATTTTTGTATACTTGTATATTGTTTTCCATAACTTAATATAATACTTACGATGTAAAAGTTTAAAAAGCTTACTCGAAGGTATACATTTAGTCTGTACTTATCTTTCATTTCAAACGACAGTGACTTCAATTTGCGTAACTTGACAATCTAAAAATATTCCTACCTACAAGTGATACCCTTCTACGACTAGTTTCTGTCCTTATGGTTACATACACAGTAGAAAAAATGACTGAACAATGAGAATATAGCGATATTATGGTGAATATATATGTAAGATAAAAGAAATATTATCGGTAGTTCTTTAAATATATTTATAAAATATAAAAATGTACAATACAATGTATTTTTCATGACAAATAAAACATGCTATAAATAAGAATTAGAAGTCATCAAACTTCCTGCTCACTGGGTATACACTTTTACAATCGTGATTACTATAAGAGCGCATGCGTGTTGCCATAGATTACAAAGTATATAGAGTTGAACATAGTTATGCGCAGAAGGAACGAAAATTAACGAGGTTACTCTTTCGTGAAACGACCATATTAAATTTGCGCAACACAGCTATCTTCAGTAGATTCCCCCACCAACTCGATTATCGTACGCTTTTCGCTCCATCGACCATATACACGATGGACAAAAACATAAGTATTCGATAACGGTGATGATGTAAGATAAGCATGATTCGTAAGTTATATTCAGCTACCGTTTTTCTAAATCTTAAGAGTTTCAAATCTCCTAAAGTTTTAAGTTTCCAAATCTGAAAATTTCAAAAAATTCAAATTTCCAAAGCCCTGAATCCTAAATATTCAGATACTCTTTTCAAATTGTCATATTCTCAAATTACTACATTTTTGTATTCTCAAATTTCCAAATCTTAGATCTGTATATATACGATCGTACTCACGTTTGATATAAATATACAAAGTATATAAAATAAAAAACCACAAGGTATATACGTTTAGCGTCTTGAGAGTATTAAATGCGCATGCGCATTGCTCTTGGTTACGAAATATGCTCGAACCAATCAGCGCTGACATGCGCAGAACGAATGGAAATTTGTCGTATAATGAGAATGGTCTCTCGTTGAACCGAATATAGATATATTTACGTATATGTATATATAATCGTAGTTCCATCTATATTCTGTTCTCCCATAGTAGCACCGTTAATGTGCATCGTGAGATGCTAGCGAGCTGCGTTTAAAAAGTGTAGGTTGGTGTGGGTGTGCATACTGCTGGGAGACAGCCGCACAAGTGAAAGGGTGATGGCAAGGAGTGGATGTGATTTACAGTGATCTTTTAACAAATGGCTCTGTCCGAGGTGCACAATTTGGCTGCGATTATCGCCAACAATGGTTTTACTGTTAGCAAGGTAAGTGACCGCGTTTGTGACTTCATTGCCGAAAAAGTGACGTTCATTTTCCTTTGCTGCAAAGTACAACGCGACTATTCCAATACAACGTGTAAAGAAAGACGTAATTATATTGTTAAAAAGGTGTTGTTTACTGAATAAGAAGAAGAAATAGGAGCTAAATATTTAATGGAAAAACGATAATTTCGATTTTAATTGTTTAATAATTTAATTAGTAGAAACGGTTCGATTTTAGCTCATTGCTGATGTATATACATAACACCGTAATTGTTCCTATAACAAGTTTAAATTTAAAATTGTTGGTTTTGAGATCAGGTCATAAAGGAAAAAATAGTTTTATCATGACAAATATTTATATCTGCATAATGATTTTAATGACACTTTCATAATAATTCTCTTGTAACATAGTACTCCAAAAATATGAAGTTTCAATAAATCAGTATACATTTTATATATTTTTTAATAAATCATACAATGTTCATTGTATAATAGGAAAATTTTAATAAAATGAACAAGCATTTACATAAGAAATGATATTTTCATACTGTTACACCATGGTAAAGTATTTGATAAGCTTGATTTAAATACAAAATAAACTATTTTTTCTTTATAGAATAACGTGGTTGAATGCAACATCAACATGTTGGAACCGCGAAACAGTTATCCAGCTGACAGATGTAACACAGAATATAATTATTGGAATTATGACTTAATGGAATGTAATACACAAAAAAATGTAAGAAATTTATAGTAACAATTGTTTTTTTTATCTAATGTATGAATATTCTCTTTTTATATTTATTAATGTTATATAAAAAATTATGTTACATATAACAAATAACATTAAACAAATATATAAGTTAAATTAAATTAAAAATATTATAGTATATTATAAGTGCTATATCATACTATTAATATCTTATTTTAATTGTTTACATTCAATTATTATAGAATACATTATATCATTTTAAATAAATATTAAATTATTATATTTATATATACATATTATAATATATTATAAATTAGTGTGATATTATATTTATCTAAGTATTCATCTTCAATTTTTAACAGTTTAAGCATTTGAAAATAATTACATTTACTACCAATTTTATTAAACTTTTTCATATGTCAAATATGACATATTTTAAATTGTAACCTATGTATATACAGTAAATTTGTTTTTATATTATTTGACTTATAAATAATAATTAGGCTTATATAATTTTATAGGATATATTTATATTTCTCCAATCTTAATTTAATAAAAATGAAATATTGTGTATAATATATGTATTTAATTAATAATTTTAATCTTTTGTAAGAAAATGTAATAGTTAAAAATATCAAAAATAATTTATGGCAAGGGTCATCAGATGTATTAATTCAATCTTTTTAATAATTTATTTATATAGATGAATATAGAAGATGAAGATAGTCAGGATTTAAACAATCCTATGGTCAATGATTTAGTGTCAAAGATTCTTGATGATGATTCAATTGTTGGTGACAATGCTCACAATAATAGCTATAGTGGCAATATTCAATATCATTCAGATACTCAATCTTGTATCATGGAGAACAAAATGGAGAATAACACAGATCCAAATCTTACAACCATAAATCACTTTAATATTCATACTACATTTAACAAATTGCACAACAATATTTCTAATAATGCTAAACTTGAATGTAATTATAACAATCTTTGTGAAGAAATTAAAACGTTGAGCCTCAACACATGCGCAGGACAAATACTGGATCAAGGAAATTTGTATAGTAATGGGGTTAGTGCATATCCAAATACGTATCCATCTGATTCACAGTCATATATATTACGTCCAACCGATGATACTTGCTGTGTAAGTGGAAATACTACTATGCCTTTGTGCAATGATTTATTAACAACAACAAATGAGACGAATTCAAGTAAGCAAACTACTAACTGGTCAGAAAATTTGTCGGCATCTGGATGTACGTCGGATTTATTTGGAAATTATCAACGAATTCAAAATTGCACAAACCCAGACCTTAATTTTAACATGGCTCTAACATTGGCATTAGATTCTCCTGATCCAATTACTCTTAATGAAATAGAGTACCATAATAATATTGGACAAAATGGAACTACTAACACATACAATAATCCTACACCTTCTATGCATGAATTATATAGTATGACTGCCAATAATCAAAGTTACAGACCAAGTTCGGCAATGACTGATTTAAGTATTGACTCTGGGTTTCTTTCAAATTCTCCGTTACAACATTTTTCTCCAGCCGATACAAATTTGCATAATTGTTTTGGGAATAATATACAGCGCAGTAATGTCAGTGATTATAAAGATTTACACGATTCAAGTAGATTAAGTATGGCAAATATCTCTATACCAAATGAACAACTTCAATTTTTGCAACAACAAGCTCGTAGCTACAAATTGAATCAAGCTGTGGACCAAGAATACAAGCAGTTAATCGACTATTATCCAGGAGTAAGTGACTTCACCGCATCATCGATCAATGGTTTGGACACAAACGAAAATTGTCTTTCGAATAATGATTATAGAATCGATAATAATCTATTAAAAATTATCAGTCCAAAATCAAAGACTATTGAGACTAAGACGTATTCGCCAATTGGATTTCCAAAAAATCTAAGTTCGCGACATACGCATCAGTCAATTGCAAAATATGGATATCATAATTATCAACAATACACTGCCAATAACGGCGAGACTTTAAAAATGTTACCACAGAGTTCCACAACGTATCATGACTTGAAGCAGCCTAATAATACTAATACATATAAAATGGAAGGATTTGATCTTACCAAAGAAATAGCTTTTCCTTCTATGAGTCATTTGACCAATCAAATCGCAGGGTCTTCAATGAACAAGGATACTTTCAACTATCTTATGAAACAACGTCATCACATGCCAAGAATACAGAATAGCCATGGTATACCATCAGCTGATGTCCTTTTCAATTCAGGAATAGTACCAAATCCAAGTACAGTAAGATCTGGAGTATTCCCGCCAGTAATGCCAGTTCCTGTACCACTTCCAGTTCCACGTTTATTTTCTGTACTTTACGGCGGAGGTTTAGGTCTTAGAAATGGAAGTGGAGCAGCTAGACGTACAGCTCCTTCAAGTATATTACACTTTAGATTGGAGCAAACTTATGAGCAGTTCAAGCAATTAGAAAAGGAACGAAAGAAATGTGAAGCTGGATTAGCTGCTCATTTCCCTGGTAAAAGAGTAACAAGTGCAAACAACATACCCATTCCTCGTCTTCAAGGGAATCCATCGCGTGTAGATCGCTTGATCATCGATTATTTGCGAGAACATGCACGCGTCATTACTTTAATTGCAAAGGTAAGGTATAAATATTTTCTCCCTTTTAACCATCAGGAAAATGCAACAATCATATTTTTTTCCTAATAGATGGAACGTTTACGGGGGACCACAATGAATCAACGTGTACACAAAGCTATGGAGTATTGGTTGGAAGCAATAAAATTTGTCCAAGAATGCCGTAAACGAGAAATTGCAAATGCTACCAAAAGGCAGAAAGAAAATCCACCATGCATTCTTGTATACAACGATAATGGTACGTTATTCAACGTTTCTCGGCTTATCTCCTAAATCAGTAATCAGATTTAATTACGCTTGTGAGTAGTAATGTGCAAATATTATACTCGTTTAATTGTCAGAAAAGGGATATTTCATAAACTTTTTAGCCCCTTTCTTTTGAATCCACCCCAAGTTCTTCCAAGACTTTTCTTAAATTCCTCACAGACTCTCTTTAAGTTTTTCCATTTCTCATATTTTGAGTTGTTAGATTAAGGTTGCTCTCTAGATTTCTTTAAGCTCTTCCTAGAGTTTTCCCAAGCATTTTCTAGAGTCTGTAGTCTGGCTTTCTCTAATCTCTTGTCTGAGCTCTTTTTAGACCCTTCATAATCCTTTATTCTGAGTTTTCCCTTTTTTTCTGGGCATTGCCTAGATTCTCCTTAAGCTCCATCTTATCTCTTCCTAATGAGCTTTGTAGTGAGCACCTAACTTGTCACTGCTATTTTAAATTATGTCTTATAAGTTAATTAATAATGTTATTTATATTTACAGATATATTAACTCTGGCTGCCAGTGTTTATGAATTGACGAAGGCGTCTCGATACGCAAGAACGGGTATGTACAACGCATTACAAGCTACATTACTCTATGACTTGGATATAGAGAAGAAAGTCGTGGAATCGTCTAAAGATCCAGTCCTTGTGATAAAACGCAATGAAAGTCAGGTAGGAAGCGACGCCGGCGATTATTCAAACTGTACCTAGCAAGATTCTGAAAACCGCTTCTCGATTACGCGTGACAAAACATAGATCGAGTCCAGCAGCTTTTTACTTGTACGTATTTCGTGTTACGTTTCGGAAAAGCTTTCGCTGGCGTTTCTCATAATTTTATCGCTGAAACAAAAGATGCCGCCCACTAATAATCGCGAGATATCAAAGCATCATTAATGGAAAGGAAAGAGTAAAAAAAAAAAACAAAAAAAAGTACGCGTACTCGCGCCGAAATAGGAAAAATCGTATGCGTGTCTACTTTTTACAAGTTAATAGTGACTCCATAGTTTTCTACTGTACATATTTTTATCTCTACTAATAGTACAGTCTTGGGGTGTCGGTTCTGGTATCCAAATACTTGTGATCCAATCGTCTTATCATCGTCTGTATCGCACTATTCAAGTAATTTTGCTTGTTCTTCGCTAAACAGACTATATAACGAAAGGAACATCGACGGTTTGTTCCTTTTGAATGAATATATTTGTCTTGCGTGGTTCATAATGCCAAAGATAATCCCTTTAAAAGATTCATTGAGGATCCGTGACTCGTGGAGGGAGAACGAAGAACAAGATTGCTCAGAGAGACTTTACTGACAAAACTTAAAAAGAAGAAAAAAAAAACGAAAAAAAATAACGTTCGCAAGAATCTCCAACTATTACTCGTTTCGCGTATGTGTCATAGGATAGATTATTATTATTATAAGCTAAATTTGACCGATATATTTGTTCAGAGTGTTAGGCAAGTAATTTCTTAGACTAGTTCAATGTGGCCTTCCTTCAATGTACGACCCAAGATGTGTGTCAGGTAGTCGAATACATCTCGAAATAAAAAAAAAACTCAGACGCGATAGCAATCTTGAACGCAAGATCGGGTGAGCTTTTTTTCAAGTTTGTGAAACAAAATGTGTGTTAGCCGCCTTTGATCGGTATAGATACGTACACATAGACATGTTAGATATATACAGCGCAAAATGATGTCCACTATACTAACACATGAATCTTTACTCAAAGAAAAAGAAAACACAGAAAAAAAGAGAACTTTCCTAACGCATACTCGCTACACGCATACACGAAAGCGTGCCCAAGCGTAACGTTTACGCACAGCACAATTACATTGAACGCAACACCAAAATTAATGACATTGTATACACATGATATTATGTAAACGTGTGTGCGTATACGTAGGTGCAGATTTATGTGCGAACACGTACAACCGTATGTTAGGTATAGAAGAGAATTTTAACGCGCGTACGCGAGACACACGTAACAATATTCCTACGTAATATTATACATACGTTCTTAGGCGAATTCGTTAGCTCTACACGGCCAACTTGCAACGTTCAGCAGTTTCTCTTACTCAATTTTGAGTGAACGGTATCAAAAGGATAACTAAGTAATTACCTAGCTCAAGCGTTTGAACGTTTCTTCGACGCGCACCACTGTAAGAAAGTCGTTTTAATTTTAAATCTCGCAGAGTTCGAGGTTCACGGAGCCAAGCATTAAGCTAATTCCGTGAGAGATGCTTGAACGGTGATTGTTTCCGTATTCCTATGAAACTACAGGTATATATTCGCACAACGATAAACAAGGTACTCCGCATCGAAGCGAATCTCTAGCGTCCACGAGTATAGGAAACGAAGGTGTAACAATTTTGTTGCTGTTCGAAGGAGGTCTAATTTTTCTCGATACCTAATAAGCTGAATATCGATCGGCCTGTATTATCAAAACGTTGGTAAAGCTTTAATTATAATCATCCGTGTATATATCCGTCAACTTCCATCTTAAGCTGCAAATCGTATCTAGTTGATAATATCCCAGCGATAGGTGGGGTAAAGGTGTGTTGGTTTTATTCCTCGATAATTCTATATTCAATCTTGGGCAGAACATTGTAGAGGAATATTTAATTTTAGTCAAGTTAGTAATACGGTATTAAATAAACGTACGATTTCCCGGTTATCTTTGTAGTCGATCTTGTACAACGACGCGTTTATTACAATCGACGTTTACGAGAAAGTTTTATATATTGATTACTTGTTTCTCTCTTATTAGCTCCTTCATGAAAGATAATATATTCGGTAAGAGAGAAATATAATTGTAGCGCAGTCTCATTATATGGCACTAGAGGCTGTAGAAGCAGAATAATTATGGAAGGGGCCAGTAAATGGAACTCATTCTATGCAGCACTCAATTGTCTAACTCTATTGTTAGCAATCAACCGGTGAAAATTTAACATTTCTAGATTTTTAAGTTTAAAAGTAGATATAAGTATTTTTTGGTTCCTAAATTTGAATCCTCTAAATTTCTAGTCTTAATACATTAGAATTTCTGAATTCTTAAATGTATAAAATTTGGAATCTCTAAATTCCTAAATTTGAAAATTTGATGTTTCTAAATCAGATTTTGAAATTTTAATATACTTAAGTTTGAAAATTTATGTTTTGTAAATTTGTGTATTTGGTGAAACACCACTAAGGTCTAAAGAAGGAGAGGGAGAAAGAACTGGCCATAAAAAAGAGAGTTCATAAAACGACTGCACTATAGTTAACAATAACGTCAGTGGATTAAAGTAATAGTTCTTGAATTTTTATTTAAAGTGCAGCTAAAGAAATCACTCGATCGCAAAGATAACCGATTACGGAAAGAGGGCCCGGTACTATCCAGTCTTGCGGAAAGCAAGATACACATACAGACTGTTAATTCGCTTTTACATAGCGCTTACATAATCATTGGGGACCATGTCGAGCATCGTCTCCGTGTATCAGCATATCTTTAGACTTCATTTTCATTAACACGAAGGAGCATTTGTATTTCTTCGCAATATTTCTCTTCTTTTTCTTCGTCTCTTGATTCGAATGAATGGTTCGGTCATTTCTTGTTTACGTCCCTCTTCGTCCTCTGCGTTTTCTTCCCTTCTCTCTGAACATGACGAAAGCATAGTGAACTTAAAACAGAAAGCGTTCATTCACTTGGGTCGTGAGTACATTGACAAACGTTGTTCCAGGTGAATTTGGACAGATTCTAAATATTATTAAAACGGTAAATCACGTTTGCTATCGGTATTCAACAAATTCATAAACTGCTACTTTTTTATGAAATAATATTATGCATGTTGCTTGTATATTATATTGATATTTTATATTACAGAATTTGAATTTTATTTATTAGTTTAAAAATAAAATTTTTAGTCCGAAATTTTTTCTGCAAAATCATTGAGATTCAAAAAATAATTTCCAGTTAAAGTAAGCATTATTAGTGTCAATAATTTTTTAAGCAAAATAATTACACAATTGTAAATTTATTAAATTAATATTTTAACATTTTAAGGCATGTAAAATGATGATAGCAAACTAAAAATTAATTTTTGAATGGTAAAACGGTAAAACCAAAATTGAAATGTATTTTTACAAGAATCTGTTGTTTCAAAATTTGCACAAATATAGTCTTCACAAATAAACGTACTTGGAAATATCGTTTGTCAATGTACTGATGGGTTGATTCTTTTGCAGTATATGAAGCAACGTGAACGAAAGAAACACATGTCCGGTTTGAAAGTATAGGCTTAGCGAAGTTTTGAAGAGGACAGCAATTAGAAAAGAATACTTGTCTGTTAGGATAGGATACTGTTTAAAAAAAAAAGGATACTGTTTGTTGTGCTTGCGTTAGGGAACAGCCAGTACATTACACAGAATTTCCTTCCGCATTTGTCGACGTGTTGTGTTGTAACTGTGATATATATAAATGCCAATTTGTACAGAACCGTCGCGGCAAGAAATTACAGGCGAATTTCGTTTTGCTTTTCTTTTTCTCTCGACTAACAGTCTCTTCTCTTCCGGCATTTCCGCTTCGCCAGCCGCTTGTTCGTTTTTGACTGCTGTTTTACTTAAGTTGTATAACTTGTGGAATGTGATATCGAAATAGATAGATACGTGTCCGATTGCAATTTTTGAGCAACGATTTGAGAACGATTGAACGGTTTGCAAACACGTTCCACTTGAAACCGATAGTACTTAGCTCGAACAATTGTCAATATCGTGCAATCATCCGAATTATCTACCTACGCTATTATAGTGTATTCGACGATGTTTTTTAACTGTCCAGTTTCTTGTTATTCGGCGAAAAGAAGAAATACCACGACTGTTAATATCCATAGAACGACTATAGTCGGTGTTAGTAGCCATTGAAAATCTCGTGCTAATTAAGTCTTCTAAGAAGCATCGTGGTTTTTCTTGGCATTACAAGAGCTTCAGAGTTTTTATAGCTAGCGCATCGATTTAGAGAGAAATTTTTATCGAAGTCGCGACAAAGGTGTAGGATTATCTTCTTGTAGCGCAGCTTCTCGGAAACCAGTCCATTCGTAGCAGGGTTGAATATTATTGGAATAATCTTTGAATACAAATTTTAAATAAAATTAAGGTCGAGAATAAATCTTTTTTTGGGACGGAAATATATTACAAGATTTTTAATACAATTTTGGATAGAGGTTGGTCCAAAAGTAATGATTTTTTATTCGAATTAAGTTGTATGATTTACTAAAATATAGGTGACCGTATTCCTAAAATGTAGGAATTAACAAGTATTAAATTTAACAATTTTCGTATTTTGAAATAAAAGAATTTAAAAATGAAGAAATCCTATATTGGAAATTTAAAATTTAGAAATATAGGGACTTCAAATTTTTAAATATAAAAATTCAGAAATTTGCTAATTTGGAAATGTACAAATTCAGAAATCTAGTTAACTTATATTTTCAAATTTGGAAATTTAAAAATTATTTGCAAACTTGCAAATCAGTCTAATAATTTATAATTTATATTAAAGTCACTTAGTTACTTTTAAAACAATTTAA